TATATATATATATATATATATATATATATATATATATATACCATACCAGCAGCAGTTATCAGAGTTGGTCTGAATTTTGTAGAATAACAGAAAAGGACGATTTGAAGAAATGTATTTTATTTTCTTGACCGACCAGAACAAGCAGCCTGCTGCTTCCAACACGTCCAGAACTGAAGAAACCGACAGATGAGGTCAAAGGTCACCAGAAGACGACCAGCTGTCTTCTGTTTCCGCTGTTTTAAAGGTTTTTCTTTCCTCTGTTCGGGTCTGGTGTTCTGATGGTCAGAACCGCCCGTCCTGTCAGAACCTGGACCCTCCAAACTGGAGAGGCTCCGGCCGTTGACAGAACAAAAGGTTTATCTGAGCTGGAGGAACAGGAAAAACCTCTAGAACAGATTAAATCAGGACCAGAACCAAACCAATGCTAACAGGAAAACAACTCAAAAAACCCTGGGAAAACTGTGGGGAGCCTCTCCAGCCAACCGGCTCCTCAAAACGTATACTTCCTCTTCATGCCTGTTCTTTTCCTCAGGGCATATTGTTTTCTGGTGACCTGTTGACCTGCAGGCTGGCCGCAGCCTCTGCCTGGTATCTTTAAGGGACTCAGTCTGACAAAGCAGGCGGCCATGTTTCTGATCTCCGAGGCATCGCCAGACGCTCCTTCAGACTTCAGATCAGGTCTGCCAGCTCTGGGGTCTGACAGCAAACCTGAGGAGTCGGAGACCTCCTGGAGAACTCTGCTGCTGCAGGAGCAGCGAGCGATGGAGGAGCGCTGGGTGGAGCGCTGGGTGGAGGTGGAGGTAGAGGGGGAGGTGGAGGAGCGCTGGGTGGAGGTGGAGGGTTCGGTGGTGATGGATGGACTGGACCCTGAGAGCAGCTGTGGGTGTTGTTGGGCCGCCAGCTTGCAGATCACCATCTTCCTCACCGTCATGGCGTCCTGCAGAGAGGCGGCGCACCGGTTGGCCTTAAGCCGGTGAGGCGCGGCAGTGCCGGCCCGTTTCCCAGAACCCTTCGTCAGGGCGGATTGCGCCTGAATAGGAAGAGCGGGTGAAGGTCAGGGCCGAGGCGAACATGCGGCCTACCAGAGGAGGCGCCACAGCGCAGCGATACTTACGCAGTCGGCCATGATGGTCCTGATCAGCGTGAAGTTGATGCTGCCTCTCAGGCCCATCTCGGCCCACGCTAGCTTCACGTAGCGGTTTATCTTGCTGAACTTCTTCGTCCCTGTGGTGAACAGGGTGTATTTGCTGCTGCCCCCCCGCTGGGCTTTGATGGGCACGAGCCGCTCAATCCAAGCGAACTCCCGGCACGTCAAGGCGAAGGCCGCCTCACCGGACCGGGGCGAAGTCTGGCGCTCGGCCACCTGGGGGAGAGAGAGAGCTCATTCCTGAGAGGCCGGTCGATTCAGAGGCAGTGAGCCGCCTGGGGCTACGTACCCTGATCAGGATGCCCTCCTCTGTCATCTCCTTCTCCGCCTTGGAGACGTCGGCGTCCGTCAAGGCGGTGAACACTCTGGGCCGGAGTCCGCTGAGGCAGGACCAGTACGCCGCCAGGAAGCCGTACAGCAGGTAGAGGCTCCGGGTGGCACTGCAGTCCGTCTCCACCTCCGCTGGTACATGGAGGAGATCAGTCAGGTGAGAACGGTCAGGTGAGAACGGTCAGGTGAGAACCGGTAAAGGGAGCAGAGACCCACCCAGCAGGTCCTCCACCCGGCCTGGAGCCAGCCGGAGGCAGGTGGCGACGGCGTCCAGACCTGACAGCTGCTCCCTCCTGAGCGGCTTCAGGTGGAAGGTGTTTCTGCGGTTTGTCTCCCTGCTGGTCGTCTTCAGCACCTGGAGGATTTCGGCCACCTGCGTCTGAGTGGCTGAAATCCGGTGGCAGCTCTGGGGCCGAGCGGCCAGCAGGAACTCCAGGAACCAGCAGGCGCTGCGGAGGTAGGACCGGATGGTGCTGAACTTCTTCCCTCTGCTGAGCATCACCTTGATCCAGCTGTGGAGGAGGAGGAGCAGGAGGCGGGTTGGACAGCTGCTGGTTTTATCCAGCCGACTGAGCTGGACTGATTGTTACATTTATTATTTATTATGTTGAATTCTTGGATAATTAAAACACACATTATGAACTTGATGATTTTTATTACATAATGAGTTTATTAAACTTGTTGAATAGAATTAAATCACATAATTATCCAGTTTACTGTGTGACATATAGATTTAAGTTCTTTTATATTAAATGTTGAACATTGTTAATGGTTAGCAGGTGTTGGATCACATGTGACGTTCCTCAGGGCTCCGTCCTTGGACCGCTCCATATCTGTAAGCTCCCACTAGCTCAGGTTATAACTGGAAGTAAGATCAGTTACCATGACGACAGATGATACACAGCTCTACGTTACCAGGTCACCAGGTGACCTTTGACCCCATCCAGTCACTGAACAGATGCTGAGAACAGATCAATGTGAGGATGAGACGAAACTTTGTCCAGCTGAACAGAAACAGAAGTTCTTAACTTTGGACCTAAAGAGGAGCGATCTAGAGTTATAGATCTAGAGTTATAGATCTAGAGTTATAGATCTATAGTTATAGATCTAGAGTTATAGATCTATAGTTATAGATATATAGCTATAGATCTAGAGTTATAGATCTAGAGTTATAGATCTAGAGCTATAGATCTAGAGTTATAGATCTAGAGTCAGCTTTGGTTCTTCCAGCTGGAGTCAAGACATCAGGATGACCCCTGACCTCTGACCTGACCCTTCGGTTCCACAGTGGTCCTTCTACCAGAACGTTTCAGGGGACTAAAGTCTCTGACCACCTGGTTCTACACCATCTAGTTCTACAGTCCTTCACTTTAAATCCAGCTGGTAGTTTATAAATCCTTAACAACCAGCTGCTGCTGGATCAACCTGCTGGTTCTGGTTCTGGTTCTGGTCTGCATCCAGAACCAGACTTGGAGCAGCAGCATTCAGCTTCTATGCCCCATAAATCTGGAACAAACACCGAGTTCCTTTAAATCCAGTGAATTTAGAAACGTAGTTGATAAAGATGGATCTTGACTAAATGTGATGTTTCATTGTTGATTCTATGATGAAGCTCTTAGAAATGCCTTGTTGCTGAAACGTGATGTACAGATACTGATGGATCGATGATGAATTGATCATTTTAGGTCAGTTTTTCTGCAGGGACTGAAAAGGACAGGAGGTCCACATGGAGACCTGCCCTGGGCTGCCATGTGGACCCTAACCCTGACCCCTAACCCTGACCCTGCTGCTCATGACCAGCCTACTGAAGCTCATAGCAGGAAGCTACTCACAGTCGTATCCTGGCCACGTTGTGCAAGAAGCTCCAGTCCGACAGCCTCCAGTATCCATCGGACATGAAGCAGAGGAAGGCCTTCAGCCCCCTGAGTCGGGTAAAGGCGTCTTTCTTGGCCTCCAGACCCAGAACCAGGACCGCCTGGAACTGGGTCAGGCTCTCGTCTACAATGAGAGATGGAGCGAAGAGTTACTGTCTGCAGAGCGAAGCTGAGAGGAAACCTGGGTGAAAACTCACTCATGGACTCCGGCAGACGGAGGTGTCCCATCAGACGTCCTCCTCCTGTCCCAGAGACCCACTGGGAGCTACTGGGATCTCCTGTGGAGGTCGTCATCGACGCGATCCTCTCCGTCTTGGTGCCGACCTTGGTGAGCTGGAGGAGCAGCAGAGTGAGCAGAGCTGAGGGTCACCAGCAGAGACGTGAGGTCCTGATGATCTCACCGTGGTTCCCTTGGCAGGTTGTGTCCAGGAGGAGGCGCCGTCCTCTGCCTCTGCCTGCTGCCTCCGCCTCTTGTCCTGTCAGACAGACATCAGTCACATCGCTGTGCTGCAGAAGCACTCGGTGCTGCAGCCACCCACCGGCTGCAGGCCGTCCTCCGCCCCGTCGGCTGCAGCGCTGCGCTTCGACCCCATCAGGACCCGCTCCAGCCGGCCCACTCTCGCCTCCAGTTCGCTCTTCTCCCATTCCAGCTTTCCGAGTCGTGACTTGTATCTGAAAGCAAAACGACACCCAGCTGTCAGGTTCCTCCTCCTCCCAGAAACCGTCTCTGGACCCAGGAGCGGCTGCTTACGCCTGGAACAGCTCAGTGCAGCAGCCAGGCTGCATCCGCCTCCTCTCCTCCAGCCCAGGGCCTTCGGGGGTCTTCGCCCGGTTCGACTCTTTGCCCCTCTCATCCACAGTCGGCTCCGTATGTGGCTGGATGTTGGTGTGGCCGGCCGACCAGGTGAGCTGTGTCTGTGACGCGTTCTTCACCTGGTGAAAACCTTTCAGGCGTTCCCACAGGCCGGACTGGCAGATGGGGCAGCACCGCAGGGGGCCAGACGTTTCCTGAAACAACAAAACATAGAACCGAGTCTCAGGGTCAGCCCTGGTCAGTCAGCCTGAACCCAAGTCCAGAAGGTCCAGTTAGGATGGGGAGAACCCGCCCTGATGAAGAGAACTGGTTCTGATGACTGAGAACTTCAGAGGATTTCACATAAAGTCTCACACCACAACTCTGGAGAACCTTCACTTAGAGAGCTGCAGCTAAATGCCATTTCTCTCTGGGATCAATAAAGTGTTTAACTGCAGTGGCTGGGAAAAGCTCCTGAGAGTTTACACAGGAAGAACCTCGAAACGGGCAGAAGTCTTTGTGCCCCGAAGGCCTCAACTAACAGGGCAACTAACACCAAACCTAACCAGAAGACGTGTGCCGTCATTAACCACAGCATGGTGGCGCTGTGGAGCCAAAGCCAGTCCTATCTGAGGAGCCCAGAGATCCTGGGGCCTTTGGCCAGAAACCCCTCCTGCCCTTCTCTTCTGCCCGGTGATGAGGACCAACCTTACAGAGTTTAGCTTGAACATTGTTGTTTGTTTAAAGCCTAAAAATCTCAAAGTTTTTCAGATTTTTATGTAAAAAAAAATCACTAAAAATATTTTCTAATGTAATTTTTCTTTCTTTATCGTTGCAGATTTCCCATCAGGTTTTGGTGTCTGTACCTGAACACTGACCTGCAGACCAGAGGCAGACATTTGGGTCTGGGTGGAGTCCACAGTGTGGCGGTCCGGTTCTGGGTCCTGGCGGTCCGGTTCTGGGTCCTGGCGGTCCGGTTCTGGGTCCTGGCGGTCCGGTTCTGGGTCCTGGCGGTCCGGTTCTGGGTCCTGGCGGTGCTCATGGTTCTCAGCCAGGTTAACTTCCTCAGTTTCCTCAGCCTTCACCTCAGTCCGAAGCCCCTGGTCCTCCAGGTCCTCCTGGTCCTCCTCTACCTTCACCTCCTGGTCCTCCTCCTTCATTCTGCGTCACTAGCGTAACATGCGGTAAAAACTGGTTAGCATCTCGTCTTCTGTAGGATTTTAATCCCGTTCCCGTTTAGGAGGAAACGCTGTTTGTGGTATTGTGATAAATTGTGGTGTGAATTCAGGAAAAGCCTGTAATTTGATCAACACATCGGCTCGGTTTGTAAACTAGCTGATTCAAACAGCCAACCAGGTGAGAAACGTTCACAGGTTAGCTCGACTGAACATGTAGAGCCATGAAGGAACCGACAAAAACAACTTGGGGGAAAAATTAAGTCGCCCAGTTCAGTGCTACCGTCCGCCATGAAGGACTTCACACGTCCATCATGGCGCCTCGAATGACGTAGTGACGTAGTTGATGCACTTGAACGCACCATGGCTTCAAATGCTGTGGCCTCGTTTAGCAGTGAACCTGAACTCAACGAAACCAGAGACATTACCGAGTTCAAACAGAACCAGACTCCTGCTGCCACTGCCGCAACCCGAACAGAACCAGAACCTTACTCTAACAGTTCCAGCACAATAGTTCACCCGTTACCATGGAAACCGGCAGCAGAACCTTCCCGAACCGAAGCTGCTCAGCTCCAGCCCTGACCTCCGCCTGTCGGAACCCAAAGACCCATTAGGACTTACTGGATGGAGCTTCCAGCTACAGGCCGGGGAGGGGGGAGTCCCACTTCCCTCTGAGTTCTGTCGGAACCGGGACGCCCACCGACCTGGACTCTGATTGGATCAGATTAGTTGTTCAACAGCAAACCGTGTTTACCGCCACCTGCTGGTCTGGAGGATCAGAAACTGGATCCTTTCAGTTAAATATTACCTGATCATTTTCAATTCTTTATTTAATTTGTAGCAAACAAACTAAATCATGTTTCACTCTAATTTTGTTGAGGTTTTGATGTTTCTCCTCATATTTCTGACTGTTATTATATAACACTCATTATCTCCATCTTTATTCCAATGTTTGTTAAATAGAAAAAGAAAAACACTAAACGGCACCAAGAGCTTTGCTGAAGATTTTCACAAAAATAAAACATCTGGGTCAGAAGTTAAAGTCACAGTTTTTCATTCCCTGCTTTAAAACCCAATCAGTGATTCATGTTTTAAGCATCAACCAGTTTGTCTGTGCAGCTGATTTCAGCAACAAACAGCAGCAGGTCCAGGACTGGACGGTGAGTTCACTGATGAAGCCAGTTGGACCTGAGATAGCATTAAATGCTACATGAAGCTATCACTGTTACCATCCCCCACTATAATGAACCTATCAGGATTTAACACAAATCAGATTTTAAGAAGCGCCTGGAGGACGAAACGAAACACCAAACTAAAGTCGTTTCAGCTGTAATGTTAGTTTAAAAACGTGTTTATAAGTTGTTAACACTTTGAAGGAATTTGGTTGAAAGTCTAAACTGGATGTTCATATTGACGATCCTCCCTCCTTGTTAGCCTAAATGTAGCTTCTAATGCTAACAGTTTAAACCGGCTTAGTCAAACTCCTGTCACCAAACATTAGAGCCTGTGACACATTCAATGAAGACACGGAGAGCTGGTTTGGTTTCAGTTAAGGTTTATTTAGTACAGGCTGTTTCCATGGTAACGGCAGTCAAAGCAGCGATGCTGTACTTCAGTGGAAGCTGTGGTGATGACTGGTCCCTGAGGAGAAGTGAAGCCTGCAGATCATCTACAGGTTCTGGTTTCAGCTAAAAGAAACACGGCGTCATCTGCATAGAGACGTAGAGACATGAAGGTCACTGAAGGTCAGAGGTCAGGGACAGTGGGCCTAATGTAGCGCCTTCATCTGCTAATGTGGCTAAAATAATGAGAACAGCTGTAACTGGGAGAGGAACCAGCAGAGCAACAGGAAACCAGCGCCGACTCCTCACTTTGCTGCTGCCGCCTCCTCAGGAGGAGCAGCCAGGCCCCAAGGCATGCTGGGTAAATATCCAGCCAGCCACTCCCCCCAGCTGCTCCTCGGCCCCTCCTCCGCTCCTCGGCCCGCCTCCCATCCTCCCACCACCCAGTCCAGCTCCTCTCTCCCTCCCCCTACCTCCTCCCGCTCCTCCCTCAGAATCACACTGTAGCGTTTCCTGGAGACTCCTCCTGCTGCCTCCTCCTCCCTCCTGCTCCCTCTCTTCCTGCCTCCATCCTCCGCAGAGACCCGGCACTCCTCCAGCACCTCCCTCCATCCCTCCAGCTCCTCCTCTCTGCTGACCAGGCGGTACATGCTCCTCCTGTACACTCCTCTGTCCTCCCTCTCTCCCCCGACTCCTGCTGGCTTCAGAGTAACCGTCTGTCCTCCCCCATCCTCCTCCCTCCCTGCTGCGCCTCCTCCCTCTCTGTGGACAAACAGCAGGGAGCGGTACAGCGCCACCACTCCTCCATCTGCCTCCTCCTCCTTCCTGAGCAGAGCCGCGCCTTCCCTGGCCTTCGCCCTCCTTGCTAGCATTAGCCTCAGCGGCTTGTAGAGCTTCTGGTAGCAGAAGAAGAACCTCAGCAGAGTCAGCAGGACCAACACCGCCGACGCCGCGCAGAGCAGCAGGCAGCCTGCAGACAGCCAGAGGCACAACACCGCCGCCCTGCTGGCAGGAACCACAGTAACATGCTGCCCCCTGCTGGCAGGAACCACAGTAACATGCTGCCCCCTGCTGGTAGGAACATCTGGAACCAGAGAGGCATTGACAACTGAAACTAGAGGAAATTCAGTAGTTAGAGGAACTTCAGTAGTTAAGGGAACTTCAGTAGTTATGGGGACTTCAGTAGTTATGGGGACTTCAGTAGTTATGGGAACTTCAGTAGTTATGGGGACTTCAGTAGTTAAGGGGACTTCAGTAGTTAGGGGACCATCAGTAGTCGGGTGTGCGGTCCGATTAAACGGGCCATCTGATAAACTTTCTGTTTGCATCGCTGAGCTGGAGTGATGGGTTCGTTGCGTCAGACTGGTGAAGGTCTGGTACCAGGACCATGTGACTCTGTGGCGGAATGAGGCCCACTCTTCAGACACAGTCGTGAGGTCAGGGGTCGTGGGTTGAGGAGCTGCAGCTGGAGTTTCTGTGCTGGACGGTTGGACTGAAGCAGCTGGAGTTGTCGGGTCAGAAGGAAGTGAGGTCACTGGCAGGTAGAAGTCTCCAAGCGGTTCTGGTTCTCCGTCTGCTGAGCAGAGATCGGACTCTTCCAGAGTCACTACAGGTATCCCCTGGTGGTGCCGCGGAGAGTCGCACACCTGGGAACAAACGGTACAGAGTTTAGCTTCCAGATGAGCCCAAGCAGCAGCGTCTGAGTGACGTATGTCTACGTCCGGTGAAGAGATTTTCCTCTCGGTTTTTGTAAAAACGCTCTGAAGCAACGGTTGATGGAAACGGCAACATCTGAGTTGAAGAGGAGATGGAAACATGTTAGCTGAATAAGTTCTGCTGCAGTGAATGCTGCCACCTACTGGTGGGTCTGTGCCTTACCAGAGCCACCAAACTCCAAGTCACTCTGGCCCAAAGGCGGGAAACCGTGACGTCTATCTGAGCGCTGCATGCTAGCTAGCAACTGCTACTTCCTGTTTACTCCAGCCAATCATAGCGTCAACATCTGATGACATCACACTCGGCGGTGATTCCCTCCAAACATTCCTTACTTGTCTGTTATTTTTGAAGTTATATTTTTGCTTTTTTAGAGGATTTTTAAAAAAGATTTTAGGAGGATTTGTTTCATCCAACCAGAGCCAGCAGCAGAAGCAGTTATTCCAGAACGAGGAGAGGACGTCAGCTTACCACGCTGTCCACGCCGTTCTTGATGAGAGGGCCGTCTCGGACGTAGATGTTGAGCCCAAAGTCGTCCAGGTATCTGCGGAGGTAACCGAGGGAACAGGAGCAGGCCCAGGGGTTGAGAGACAGGTACAGGTACGGCACGTCCTCCTTCTGGCTGAACCAGTCGTCAGGCATCACCTGGATCTGACAACCAAGGACCAGAATCGGCCATTTTTATTTTGTTGTTTAGCTTTAAGGTACTGAGTGGATCGATCTGGACCAGGGGTGTCCAAAGTGGGTCCTGGAGGCCCGGCATCCTGCATGTTTTATTCTCTCCCTGGTTTAACACACCTGGATCAAATGATGCTCATTAGAGGCCTAAGAGGAACATTGACCTGCTGAGGAGGTTGTTACTACCACTAGGGAGAGAATAAAACATGCAGGATGCCGGAACTCCAGGACCCACTTTGGGCTCCTCTGGTCTAAATGTTGTAATGTTCAATTTTAACCCTCACAGTTCATCACCATCAGAACCTCCACCAACGGCTCAAAGTTTTCCTGGAAATATTCTGTACTGTAACACACCATGTTGTGTTGGCATGGTGTGTTAGCACAATGTGATAGCATGTTGTGTAAGTGTGATGTGTTAGCATGAATTGTTAGCATGAATTGTTAGCATGGCTGGGCTCCAGCTGCTCACCTGGTTGCTCTCCAGGTAGAGGGTTTCTATGGCTGACAGCGGGTGGAGCATGAGAGCAGGAAGGATGGAGATGCGATTGGCCGTCAGGTCCAGGATCTGCAGGACGGACACACTTTTCAGTTTTCATTGTCCCGACCAGGTTCAGCTCGATCTCAAGCTCTAATTATCCTCTCTCCCCCTGCAGATGGCGTCGCCACGGCGACAGGCTGACCTCCAACACGCTGAGCCCGGAGAAGCTGCGGTCGGTCAGAGACGCCAAGAAGTTGTTCTGCAGGTAGAGTTCAGTCAGAGCGGGACAGGCGGCGAAGGCGCCGTCAGGGAGGCGCGTCAGGCGGTTGGAGCCCAGCCGGAGGATGGAGAGGCCGGCCAGAACCGGGGCGGAGCTGGGGACCACGGCCGGAACCTGGAGGGCCACACACACACCACAGACAGATACATACACACACACACACACACACACACACAGACTAGTTTACATGTTTCGTGGGGACTACCAATTTAATCATCACTCGTGGGGACCACACTTTCTAGTGGTTCTAAAAATCAAAAAAAAAAAATATATTTTACACTATTTATACCTATATTAACCTAAACACACCTTGAAATAACTCAATTTCAAAAGTAGAGTCATCAACCTGTCTGGGCCATGCCACATGGGGACTCATGAAATTCCGAAAAAACATGTCATATGGGGACCAGATTTACATATTATTTGCATAATTAACACACACGAACTTACCTCGTGGGGACCTTTGTTCCATTTCCTGACATATACGGTCAGCCATTTTAAATTTCAACAAAATGATCAATAACTTATCACCAATATCATGAAATGATTACAGGAGAACAAAGCATTGCAGAACACCTTTTTTATTTAACTTGTCAACAAAACACAATGTACAGGCATTTCGGACCCTCAATGTTACATTTGATTCAATTAGTTTTGTTATTCAAGTCTTTAAATCCAAGTCTGCAGCATCTAAAACCTGAGACAGGAATACAATAGGTGTCCAAAATGTTGAATCTTTGGTAATATTCACTAATCTAGCAAAGCTGCCACTGAGAATCAAAATTATAATGATTTCAACACAGCAATGAGCCAAACAATGTTAAGTATGTTGCTAAATCTGACACAACTACCAGTTTAGAAGCTCTGTCTTCTTCAGGGTCTCATCAATGATTCTCTGAGAGCCTGAAGAGAGTGACGGAAGAATGGAATCCATGTATGTCGGTTCCACACTTGCAGTGGTCAATGTCTGGAATATTTTAAAAAGACTTATTTGTATGTAAACATGTACAACCAAGTGCTTGCTTCAATAAAAACTAATTTCTTGAACAAATAGTGACATTTTTAAAATGAAGTTAAAAAATGATGACTAGAAATTGTGAACTAAAGCCCTAAAACA